CCCGTGGGGAACTAAAAGATACTTGGACTAACCCCCCCATCACCCCCCAGCCAGAAGGGCGGGCTAGGGAATGCTGGGAGTTGAAGTCCACTCATCTTAAAGTTCCCAAGGTTGAGAAACACCGTCCTACACCTTTAGGAAATTGAAAGCTATTAGCGGCATGTTCATTCGTAAGGATGTGCAGAGTTAAAAAATGATTCCGAAGATGTGCTTTGGACTTTGGATCTCTCTCTCTCTCCTATTTGATTAAGGAGCCTGACACACAAATATGTAACTTTGGGTCCTCCACCTCAATCAATCAACGAAGAAGTCTAACGTTTTGACTCATCTGCTTAATTGGGTTCTCTTTAGTTTTAGGACTTGTTTGGAAAACAGATCATGTTTTAGGTCGTATTTATACAGAAGTGTGGAACATTCAGAAGGGTTCACAAACTTTTAGGCACCCCTGTATCATCCACGAAGTGGGGGTGGACCTTGGGGCTCCTTGCTCCTTACTTGCTACACCCTATTAAGTTATTCTTGGAGCGCTAACATAGCCTGTCCTGGCTGGAGGGATGCAAACAAACTTCTGGATAGATCTCACCATACCCTAAAATCATGTCAATGGGATCAATTTTTTCTTAAAAAAACATATTTAAGCAAAACTTAAACTCCATCTGCCTTTTGTACTGTATCCCCCCTCCCTCCCTCTCTATAGCAGCTTTCCCAAACCTGGGGTTCTCCAAAAGTTTTCTAATTGTAGCGTATAAACACATCTGAAGGATCCCAGATGTGAAGAAGGCCGCTCTAGATTTTCATTCTTACTTTTTACGTTTCTATCTCTTGCATTCTGTTTTTGCACAGCAGTATTGGACATTGCCTGGGCCACCAGCCACACAAATCTTTAACTAGAGGGTTAGGGACTCACTTGTTTATTTTAAAGTATCGTTTAGATTGAGGAAGCAAATGTAGTAATAGGGGTTTTTTTTGTACTGCTTTGCTATCTGTTGTTTCATTTTCAAAGGGGAGCTATTTCAAAGGAAGCTAAAGACTGATAAGGGAAGATGAACCCGACAAAGACTCTAATGATTAGAATTTCTCACTCCTGGGATCAGGGGTGAAACGTAGGGCGAAGGGTGGACCTTCAGGATGGCAGAATCCAGCATCTAGTGCTCATGAGCCTTGAAATCTCCCTGGGGAGCCTGGCTGGTCGCTGACATGCCCTTTCAAGATAGTGGGAGCACTGACCGAAAGTAAGAACTGCAGCTACAGAGAATGTTCTTATGAGCATTGAATTCACACCCGTTGACTTTGATGATCACGTCACACAGCTTCCCTTCCAGCCGAAGCTCGTTGAAGACCGTACAAGCCATCGCACTCATCTTCCGCTCCATGTGGCGGTAGGAGTACCCCGCCGAAGCAGAGGCGTCGTCCATTTCTTCAAAGTGGGGGAGGCAGCAGAAAGAGCTGCCAGGCCTTCCACTGAACCCTCCTCTTAGAAAAAGGGTGTGATTGGTTCAGGGGTTCCAGAACCCCCTCCCATAATGAGACCCTTGACATGACCAGGTTCTAGAACTCCAGCTGCCCTCGGAAGCCAGCAGGCTCCACAGGAGATGGCCGCGTTGGAGGTTGGAGTGTTCTCCCCTTTCCACATCGTTCAAAATTAATCACACTTGGGCACGGCTGACCTCTCCTTGGTTGAGGAAGGAAATCTGAAGGTGAAACCCAACGTGATATTTCTAGGACTACTGAAATGGTTTAAATGGACTGACGCTAAAAAACCATTAGGGTTCAGCCTTGGCACCCAGATTTTATATGGAGGAGGGTTTGTTGTTGCCTTATTTAATTTTAAAGAAAATTAAGTTGTAACCTGGTGTTTTACTTTTAATTCATCCAAGGTTCAGAATTGGAATAGCTGCTGAATTATCTGTTATCTTGTGAACTTTTTTCACACACTGCAATCATACAGGGAGTCCTTGTTTAGCGACCACAGTTGGGACCAGCAATTTGGTTGTTAAGCAAAGTGGTTGCTAAGTGAAACGACTGTGCTTACGATCTTCCTTCAGTTTTCCTTTGCTTTACAGACCTGCAAAGGTCGTAAATGTGAGGACTGGCCACAAAGTTAACTGTGAATGGTCACTGTCCAAGGCAGTCACTAAACAAGGACTATCTGTACTCATGTTCCTACAATGTAGATCTGGAGATATGGCATGTAACCGAAAGGGAAAGGAATAATTTCAGTGATGGAAATGGGTAAAAGAAAAACTTATTTCTATTTAAATAAAAACATCCCCATTTTGCATTTCCCCAGTTAGTAACAAAATGGCATGTGATTATCTTCCTATCTTTGCAGTTTGCAATATACTGTAGTTCCCCAATCAAATGTGCATAAAGCTACATGCACTAGGGAGACTGCAAAAAAATTCTTAAGAGCATGGCAAGTGTACATTTTCATATGAAAAATACAAGAATGGTACAGAAAAAGGAGAATGTTAAATGAAGCAGAACAGTCGGGATTTTCCATTCCTAGCCCGAGTCTCAGTAACCAAATTCTCCTTGTAGGTAGGATTTCATGATGCTACTTCAGTCTCAGTGATCAAGCATTTAAATGTACATATATTTTAATGGTTGATATTATTCCATTTTCATCTTTCACTGAATGTTGTTTTGAATTTAAATATGGAATTGTTGCATTTTATTGTAAGTTGGCCAGGCAAAGTTTTCTTTAAAATGAGAGGGATAAAATGGCTACAAATAAAATCTCCCAGGCAGTTGATCTCCACAAAATCAGCTAAAATCAGGTCAGCTAATTTCATAGAAATGCTATTCCATTGCAACACTACCATTTTAGAAGGGGAAAAAAAAGAGGAATCTGAAAAGAAGTCATACATGGAAGGCTTGATTAAAGATTTCACAGCACAGTGGTAGAGATCTTATTTTGCAAAACCTTTTTGGAGGGTTTTTTTTTGCCCTTCATTACTCATGGACACACTTCACCGCTCTCCCAGTATTCCGAATTTGGTAGATGAAAAGATGCATCACCCAACGATGATCAAGCTGAGGGCCACACAGAAGCATCAGCACACTTAAAATGCAGCTGTCTCTTAAACTGCATCTTCTGTTATAGCACAAGCATTCTTGTCTTGCAATCCAAAGGAGGAAAAATCTTTTTAAAAGATGAGACACCAGTATGAAGCTGAAGGAGCAAGCTATGTGAAAGCAATTAAAAGAGGTTCCAGGTTTTCCAAGACCAGAAAGCAGGTGGAGAACCAAATCCATTTTCCACCTGATTTACTGAGGAGTGAGATTTGATAAAGCAATTCAAGTGTCTCCAAGATGAAACTCAGAGCAGCTTGAAAATGAACAATTCCTATCAATGCCCTTTGGTAGCACTATAAGTACATGCAAGCAGAAAACTTGGAAAAGGAGAGATTCAGCAAAACAAGCCATGACACTCTTTATTTTACCTTCATACTCTAACAAGACTAAGGCTGTAATTCTATGTACCTGAGATGAAATTCTGTTAGATCACAGATGGACTTGTTTTCAAAACCGATAGGAACACAGTGCGTAACCAAGTATTTTTCCCCTTTAAAAACTTTAGAGGCGTATTAAGAGCAGAGGATCTCTAACTAAGCCTCATCAGATAAAATGTTATTGTTTAGTTATTCTGCATGGAATCCTAAAACTATTTCAATAAAATATAAAACCCTCTCTTGCTCAGCCGTACTGCATGTTCTCCATCTGAGAGCTGGAAATGAACTTTTGGCCTGAGATCAGCAAAATATGGATTCTGATGTCTCCTTTTTGAGGAAAGAACTTCAATGCTGCTCTGTGGCCAGCCAGTTCTTTAGAAGCCTTTATACAGAAAGGTTTGCAAATCTAATACAAATGAGCAAGCAGTAAATTTCACTTTGTTTGTTTAATTCAGTATAAAAAGAATTGCCTGAAGCTTTCTGGAGCCATCCTGGCTAATAAAGAAGCAGGTTTTGTATAGAATCATGGTAACAAGAAACTGCCTACACAGCAGAAAATTAGAAGAAAACGACTAAATGAAGTTTTCCAGCAGAATCCTCTGAGCAAATATTTGGCTATGCTGCTTTTTCAGGAAGCAGCAAAGTTGCAGTCCCTTTTGCAATATCCAACCTGCTCAGCTTTCAGGGCAGCCCTCTAGACTACCAACGATGGCGACCTTCTCCCTTCTCTCCCCAAAGCGATGTTCTCAATTCCAGGCAGCCCCTGGATTTTGGATCCAACAGACATAAAAATTCTCTTAAGTTCAGGTGTATTCACATAGGTGACCGCATCCTGTAGGGCAGTGGGAACTGGTCTCCAGCCATTTCATGATATGTTGCAGATGACCACCGTGACTGCAGCCTTGACACCACACAAAGAGGCCCTTCACCACGTGGTGACACACAGCACACATGCTGGCACACTGCCGACACCTGAAAGAGACCGCAAAGACAACCAGCTGAAGGATACAGGTGGGGTCGCAGTGGAAGGACAGACCCTCCAACACAGGAGATTCCAATCTTTGCTCAGCAATGAAGGGCAGCACATTACTTGAGCCAGTCTCCCTCTCTCAGCCTAACCTATTTCACAGGGTTTTGTGAAGGAACAGGATAAATCGACGAATGAGAAACAATCTGTTGCAGCCTTTGTAAGAATATTCTGCAGCTGGAAGTAAGCGTCGAATCCTTTTGCTAAAAAATGGGCATTACAGGTTGTCATGGTATGTGGGAAAGACCTCGGGAGATGGGGTGAAGAGCTGCTGCCTAGGGATCAGTCAGATAAGAGACGGCTGAGCCCTCAGCTGGACAGTGGGCAGAGCAAGAGGCTCAGAAGGGACCCTCCGTACGTTTTCAGGCTGTAAAGGTGACAGCGGGAGAATTGTACTTACAGACATGCAAGACTGATGTCAGCCTTCCCAGGTAGACCAGATAGGAATCACAACCAGATGAACAATTCTACTTTATTGTAAAGTTACATTGACAGAATCTTGCAAGTCTGAAACTACAAATCTCCCACCGTCTCCTTTACAGACTGAGAAACTAGGGAGGCTCCCTTCTGAGTCTCTTTCTCCATCCATTATGCAGCTGCAGACTATGCCCTCTCTTATCCAACCGTTCCCTAGACAGCGTCTCTTTGCTCCATCTCCTGAGGTCTTTCCCACATACCATTACACAAGTGCAGTGTAATGAAGTTCCACACAGGACTAGATGCAGTGGTTACAAGTTAAAAGGTACAGTCTACCACATCAGTGAAGGGTGGAAGCTCTCCTGCTGCCTTCTGGTTATGAGGCAGCTCCCTGGGCTATGCTTGGGACACCACAAAGAACTGAGATTATCCCTGAATTTTATGCATGGGTATTTTAGAGAACCAAGGCAAACGGGCTAAACAGGTCTTACTACACTAGACAATGCAAGCTGTTTGAAGCTGGGCTGCTTTCTCCTTTTTCGAGAAGATGATATGATGCGGCACACTGCAAACTAGGATAGAGGCATCACAGATGCCCCTGGACATGAGGACAGTGCCTGATGACTGTGTATGTGTGATGGAATGGTGTTATGAAGGCCACGCTCATGGAGATAAGCGTTTCCTTGGCCCCCAGCAGGAGCGTGGGAAGTTTAAGAAGTTGAGACTGGCACCACCCTAAAGAATTCATGGTGTTGTGGCTGGCTGGCTTGGGAACTGAGGTTCAGTCTGGAGAGATTTCTGTCTTGAGGTGGAAGCTAATAAACACAACAGAACTGTATTGTTCACGGTGATGTGGCTGGCTGGCTTGGGAACTGAGGTTCAGTCTGGAGAGATTTCTGTCTTGAGGTGGAAGCTAATAAACACAACAGAACTGTATTGTTCACGGTGATGTGGCTGGCTGGCTTGGGAACTGAGGTTCAGTCTGGAGAGATTTCTGTCTTGAGGTGGAAGCTAATAAACACAACAGAACTGTATTGTACTGTCTGGTGGAGTTCTTTGGGCTGAACCTGACATCAATCTCTCCAGACTCAACCTAAGTTCCCAAGCCAGCCAGCCACATCACCGTGAATTCCTTAGGGAATTCTAGTCTCAACTTCTTAAACTTCCCACGCTCCTGCTGGGGGCTAAGGAAACACTTATGAGCGTGGCCTTCATAACACCATTCCATCACAGTATATATAATCTTAAACTTGGCCTGTGACTATGATAACCTGCGTGAAATAACTGATCTTGCTCTACTGCCTTACGTAGGAGAAGTACTGTGCATGTGCAGCCATGAGCTTCTCACCGGTCACAGATCCAGCCCTTGTTGCTCATTGGCCGCTTGCAGTTGCTGCAGTTGATGTGCAGAGTGGTGGAGGCCTGGTTGAGGCAGTTGACGGCCCTGCAGGTGCTTAGCTTGATCACTTCGTTGGAGATGTTCCAAAGCTGGAAGCGCTGCAGCAGGTCAATGTACGAAGTGTACCAGTGCTCCTGGGCAAACAGAAAACATGGATATCGCTGCATCTTCAGGAGCAGTTGCACCGTTTTTCTCCCAGGACTCCGAAGCATTCATGCTGTTTATTGATGAGTTTGCCTTTTCATCTCAAAAACACTTTAGCTCTAAATTAGAAACGGAGGAGCTCAACTCCGTGCGTAAGTACTGGGGTGAATGGAAAAAGGAACGCAACACTCGGGCATTTTCCCCATCAATACTTCTCTGCAGAGGAAAATGATCTATGTGGATTCCATCCTGGTTTCAGCCCAGCAATAATCAGCAAATGTTAAGTCACGAATTGGCAACTTTTCAGGCGCCATGGAACGAGGGCACACACACCCATTCAATAGACATATTAAGAAGCTGAAACCTTGAAAGATGGTGACCATTTCACACAGGGGTTCAACCGTTTTCTAAAACTGGCAGGGTGAGACAATGACGTTTAGGCCCTGCGCTAAATTGTTATGTCAACTCCACTGAGTAAACCACTCCAACAGTCAAGGGCAATTCTTCTGGTTGTCACGCTGCCATTTATGGAATTCAAGGGAGAGTGAAAGGGACCCTCATCCTATTCCCATCTAGGAATTTGAATCTGCCCAGCATCAGCAAGAGGGCTACTACAAAATATCTTAATATGCCCAAGAACTATCAAGTCCCATAAACTATCTTCTCCTCTATCTTCTATCATATCTATGCTCTTCCCCTGACTAGTTACACAAACTCCCCCAACTTGTGCTCTCAGGATATTTCAAACCATAATTCTTCACTCCCCAGCTCTTAGCCAGATTTGTTAGGAATTCTAAGAGCTGCAATTTAAGACATCGGGATGATGCTAAGTTGAGGGAAGGCTGTATTAAGCAGGCTTGGGATTTTCTTCCCAAATGCTACAAACGACTTAGCGGCATTAAGCTTCTGCTTCTCACAATTTTTCACTGAGCAGATGGAGCTTAATACAAATTAGCAAGAATCAGAGGACATTTCCTATCCCAGGTATTCCCCATTGCCCATTCTGCCTTCTCCTGTGGATAGAGGACAAGTTAACAGGGAGCTATACAAACCAACCATTCTCAAGCTCCAGATCATGGTAGGGATTGAATGAGTTCTATTCAAATTTGATTCTGAAATAATAAATAGCTAGCAAAGGGCTTTCATTAGACCCTAAGATAGGGGTTCTTAAGCCATGATCCATGGATAGATTCCAGGGGATCTGTGAACTTGGATGGGGGGAAAAAAATTACAATTTTATTTACACTAACTCTAACTGAAATTTAGCTTTTTATTCAATGTATGTAGGCAACAAAGTAATTTATGGCCTCTAGATGCCAAAAATATTTGTTTCTATCTAAAATTAGTATGCCTAAAAAGGATATTGTTCTGTTATTGAGTTAATGGATTAACAGAGAAGTGCGTATATTACATATTTGTTTATTTTTTAGTTTTTTGGTAACTGTCTTTGAGCATACTTAGTTTCCTTTGTCATACAATCTAAATCTATGTACAGGGAGTCCCTGGGTTAAGAATGCCCAGGTGACACACAACCCATAGTTAAGAACGGAGCCTGCTGTAGCAAAATTTGAGTTAAATACACAATGATTTGAATGAAATACACAATGGTTTGAGTTCATTACACAATACTACTTATACAGTATTATACAATAATAC